CACCCCAGAGCCTCTCCCACAGCTCCAGGCCTCTGTCCATCTGCGGGGGCACAGGAACTAGCAACTTCTCCCCAGAATCTCCAGGCTTTGACTCACTGCCCCCCCTCCCCCCAGCCCTCCCTCCACCCCCTGAGGGAGCCCAGGCCAGGCTCTGGCTTTAGATGCAGGAACCCTGTCAGTCCCCAGCTCTTTAAGCCAGTGGTCGCCAACCGGTGGTCCGTGAGGTCCGAAAGGTTGGTGGCCGCTGGTTTACGCTGTGATTCCCAACAAGCAAGTCAAGAATGTTCCGGATGGGAAAAGGAAATAAGGTCAAGAGCTCTGGCTCCAAGTGGAGCGGCCAAGGCCTGTGGTTATGAGGGGGAGGTGGGTGCATGGGGGGGCGGAGCAGGGTTTGGGGAGCAATGCTAAGGAAAGAGCCTCTCCCCACCTCCCCGCACTGTCCGAGCGGGGCCAGGCTGGGCGGCTTTAGACCCCGAGGGCCGTGTCCACACCTGGCTTGGGCGCCGGATCTCCGGGATCTCCGTGTAGGGGCTGGCGGAGGGCTTCGGGCCGGCTCGAGGCCCAGGGGGTGCTGCGAGGTTGACCACAGCGTACTCCGGGCCCAGGCGGTTCTGAAACAGAGACTTGGTCAGAACAGCCCGTTTTTGGCAGCAGGGATGGTCTGTGAAGGGAAATGCGGGAGGGGTGGGCAAGGGGAGAACATGGGCTGTGAAGTCACAGTCCCTGCCTCCCATTTCCCCTGTCGCAGTGGGACCTTGGGCAAGACACCTAACCTTCCCAAGACCCAGTTTCCCAAGCTGTAAAATGGGGATAAGAATTTTTTCCTCAGGGTCATAATGACTCTTCATGATAACGTTTTATCACTCAGCAACGGGGGACTCCTGCAACGATGAATTTGTTTTCATGATTGTTATTTCTAGCTTTGGCTGCAGGTTCTTTGTAATAGGCTCAGAGAGAGCAGAATCAGACATCTCAAAGATTCACCCAATAACGAACAGCACGAGAAGAATTCTCCAGAGATCGTAAGTCTGAGCAACCCCTCCTGGATCAGATGAGGAAACCGAGGCCCGGGGAAGAGAGGTGGGCGGTCCAGCGGAGACGGGGACTCCCCAACACGTTCACATGGAGAGATGGGCGAGTTACCTAACCTCGCTAAGCCCCGGCCTTCCCCTCTGACAGGGCTGTAGTTGGGAAAGTGTGAGATGAGACCATCCAGAAAGCCGGAGCTCCTCTCTTTGGCTTCAGGGCCCATCAGGCCATGAGACTCCTGGCCAGGCACCTCAGGACAGCTGTGCCCCTGAGAGACTTGGCCAGGGGCCTCGGCCAGCTCCAGCCTGTGCTCTGCCCAGCGGCTAGGACCCGGGAGCAGGAAGTGGAGGGGCCTGGCATCCTGAGGACCCAAGGATATTTTTTCCATCGATTCTCAGAGAGAGAGAGAGAGTGGAATGGAGGGGGAGAGACAGAGAAAGAGAGAAACATCAATGTGAGAGACACGTTGACTGCAAAACTGAGACCTTCAGTCCTCCGGCTGATGCTCTGAGCACTGAGGAAAACCGCCAGGGCAAACCTCCAACCCGTCAACTCCACCTCCAGACTCCGCTCAAAACGACAGAAGCCAGAGAAAAGCAGAAGTTTTCGGCTGGTCCCATTCACAGGATCTGGCCTCCGACCCGCTTGGGAGACCTGTTCCATCCTCCTAACAAAGCCCCCCACCCCAGCTCCTCTGCTCACTGGCCAAGCGCCCCTCCCACAGGTGCAGGGGCAGGAGGCAGAGCGGGGCAGCCTTCCCAGTGTGGGCTGGACAGCAGCAGAGCAGGGACCGGCCTGGGGCAGGCTCTCCCCACAGCAGGGGGGGGGGGGGTCCTCTCTCCTCCCCAGCTCCTCTCAGGCATTGGGTGGGAGTGAGCCCCAGGAGGAATAGCCTGGAGGCCGGCTCCGAAAGTGGCCAGTGGCAGCCCCTGTCCATCTCCTTGACCTTTCCCTCACTCCTGTCCACCACCTTTAGCCTTGTATAGTTTCCTGAGACAACAACAGCTGCTTCCTAAGCCACACCCAGTACCCCATTCCCGCCCCGGCCCCGGCCCCTCCCAAGAGGGATCAGGCCTGAGCTTTTGTCTTTGCTGGCGCCAGGAAAGAAGGCGGAGCAGCCCCTTTCCTGCCCCCAAGTTTAGGGAATCAGAGTGGAGGCATCTCAGTAAACAGCCGAGGGAGGAGGGGGTGGGTGAGGCAGGTGGGGCTTTGGTTTCCTGAACCCGTGATTCCGCAGCCCTCTCCTTCCGTGGAAAGGGACGTTCTCTCTGCAGGGGTCAGGGGAGGGCCAGGGCAGGTTCCCCTCTCCAGGAAGATGGGCAAGTTACTCCCATTCCTTCTTCCCCTTGGCTCCCAGAGCACCACCTTCAGGCTGTGTCTCAGAGCCAAGAAAATGCTCAGAGAAAACAGTAGGGTGTTCTGAAAAGAGGAGAGATGGGAGATGAGAAATCTGGGTCCGGTTCTCTGTTTGGGCCACCACTTGCTGTGTGACCTTGGGCAAGATGTTGGCCCTCTCTGGGCCTCGGTTTCCTCTTCTGCAAACGCAGACTGGAGCCTGTAGTTGTCATACTCTGGTGTGCCGTCAGAATCCACAGGGGCCCACCCCTAGAGGTTGCAGGTGGGAGAGGATATTTTTTCTGACACCACCTGCCCACCAACCCCAGGAGTTCTGAAAGGGGGTGTGCACCCAACTTAGAGGAAGGCTGGACTAGATGATCTCAAAGGCCCACTCTGGATCCAGCTCCGATCTTCTCTGATTAGAAAAGGGGGAGGAGAGGAGGGTGCTGGGCTTGGGGAAGGCCCTGCCTGGCCCTGGGTGAGGAAGAAGGCTGTCAGCTCACAGCCTGAAGGGCTCGTCTTGGGGCTCAGAGATTCCCTGGAGGTGGGAAGCCATCCCTGCCTCGAGGTCAGCCATGGAGGACCAGGTAGATGTGGAGTCGGAGCCCTGCAGAGTCTGAGGGTCCGAGCTTGGCCTCTGTCTGCTTCCTGACTTACCAAGTGTGAGAGGTGGACCTTCTCATTCTGTGTCTCCGGGTCCAGTTGAACTGAAAGAGATCAGAAGGAGCACCTTGAGGCCAGGAGTAGCCAGGAGTAGCCTGCAGCTGCTCCCACAGAGGTGGACTGGCCTCCCTGCATCTTCGGGCAGGGGCTTCCTAGAGGGAGTTGGCAGGCAGGTTGGGCAGAAATGCCCCTTCTAGCTCAGCCCGTTGGCAATGAGTGGGCCTTTGGAGATCAGTACATGGAAGTCTCCTCATGTGGGCCAGAGCCAGGCTGGGGAAGTAAAATTCTGTGTGCTAAAGCCATTGCTTCTTTTTTGAATCCTCACCCAAAGAGTGAGAATACTTTTTCCATTGATATTTAGAGAGAGTGGGAAGGATGGGGGAGGGGAAGAGAGAGACACATCAATGTGTTAGAGACCATTGATTGGTTGCCTTCTGCCCACACCACAACCGGGGGTGGGGATTGAACTTGCAACCAAGGTATGTGCCCTTGACCAGGAATCGAATCAGAGACCCTTCGGTTCATGGGCCGACACTCTAACCACTGAGCAAACCAGCCAGGGCTAAAATCATTGCTTCTTAAACCTCAGTGTGCCTATAGGGCCCCAGGAAATGTTATCAAATGCAGATTCTAATTCAATAGACTGGCCCTGGGGCCTAAGAGTCGGCATTGCTACCAGGCGACCAGGAGAGGTCACGGCTGCTAGCTGGGGACCACAATTGGAGAGGCAAAATGCTAAGAGGTTCTGAGGTTGTGGCCAGGAATGCTCCCACCTGTATGTTCCTCCCCGACTCCTCTGTGGGGATTTGGGGACATGGGCAGAGCTGACATTTCTTCCTGGGGCCGCACAGGGAGGAGTTGGGAGGCAAGCCCAGGATGTCCCCTTGGCCCGTGGCCATCTGCACAGGGACAACACTGCCAGTTTGCAAAGTGCTTTCCCAAACATCTTCCTGTCTCCACTACTTCCTAGCTATTGCAAGCACAGGGCCTCAGTCTCTTTCCCTGTATAATGGGAGTACTTGCAATAAGTAGTTCCTAACTCAGCCGTGGGCAAACTACGGCCCGCGGGCCGGATCCGGCCCGTTTGAAATGAATAAAACTAAAAAAAAAAAAAAGACCGTACCCTTTTATGCAATGATGTTTACTTTGAATTTATATTAGTTCACACAAACACTCCATCCATGCTTTTGTTCCGGCCCTCCGGTCCAGTTTAAGAACCCATTGTGGCCCTCCAGTCAAAAAGTTTGCCCACCCCTGGGCTAACTCCACAGTATTGAGGAGATTAAAGGAGATAAAAGCAACATAAGCTACATAACAATGCCTGGCACCTGGTAGTTTCTATTACTGTTATTTCAGTTATTATCTGTGTTGTCCAACCCGGGAGCCACGGGCCACCGGGTCACTGAGCGCTAGAAGTGTGACTCCGAATTACACCGGGTTTCAAAGACTCAATATGAAAAAATGAATGTAGAATATGTATCATTAATATCTTTATCTTGTTTCCATGCTGAAATGATCATATTTTGGTTATGGCGTGTTAAATAAAGTGTATGATTAAAATTAACTTCACTAGTCTATTGTTTTCATGTGACTATTAGAAGAATTGCAAATCAGATATGTGGCTTGTATAATATTTCTTCTGGACATATATCTGTGATCTGAAGAAGCCGAGGCTCAGGAAAGTTAGATGAGTCCCCCCAGGTCTCACAGCTAAAACGATGGGCCCTGATCGGTTTGGCTCAGTGGATAGAGCGTCGGCCTGCGGACTGAAGGGTCCCAGGTTTGATTCTGGTCAAGGGCATGTACCTTGGTTGCGGGCACATCCCCAGTAGGGGGTGTGCAAGAGGCAGCTGATTGATGTTTCTCTCTCATCAATGTTTCTAACTCTCTATCCCTCTCCCTTCCTCTCTGTAAAAAATCTTTAAAAAAAGAGAAAAAGATGGAAGACCTGGGATTTGAAGCCACGCCTCCACAGAAGCTGAGCACCTCCAGAGACCCAGCGGCCACAATGTATGTCACGCTCAAGTTCAAGTGCTGGGTCCAGCCTTCCCCTCTATAGTCAGTCCTCACACAGGAGCTGGACCGGCAGAGACTGAACATGGATTCTCGGGGAAGACATGTTTGGCACCAGGGACCAAACATCTAGTCAGTCCCAAAGGACCCCAATCTCCACTGCCTGCCCCAGGAGACACGTTCAGCCGGGTCTGCACTTGCCAGCAGTTACCCGGATGTCAGTAACTGTGTGCAATTACGTACGAACCCCCAAGAACAATAGGGAGGGAAGCGGCTGATGACCTCGGGTGGATGTGAGCAAGCCGAGAGCCCCGCTCTCACTCTCACTCCCCCAATAGAATTACCTTTTTCCTAATGCCGGCGGCCCTGTGGCTCCCTCAGAAGGCACTCGTGATGCCCGTATCTCAGACAGACACACTGCGCCACAGGGCTTCTCTGGGGTGATGGTGGGAACATCTGGTCTCAGCAAGGTCCCCGGCTGAAAGCCTCCCACCCACTCCCGTCTACCTGTGCTCACCTTCCTTCCTGCACCGGAGCACGCACCTGCCGACGACAGCCAGGCCTGCGGCCAGCAGGAGGACCAGCAGCACTAGGACCGGCACCAGGATGTGGGCCTTTGAGTGGGACGCCCTGCAGAAGGCGCCCAGGGGCTGTCACCAGCCAGCAGCAGCACGCGGTGCACCCGACATTCCTATTCTGAGTCCCAGCCGTGTCCCTTGTCTTTCCCAAGGAGATCAGAGGGCACCAGGGACCAAACACTAATCAGTCCCAAAGGACCCCAATCTCCACGGTCTCCCCCAGGCGACACTTCAGCTGGGTCTGCAGTTACCCGATGTCAGTAACTGCGTGCAGCTATGCATGAACCCCCAAGAACAGTCCTTCAGGCTTGGACTCCTGTTGGGTGGGAAAATGTTTTTGTTCCCTATTTTCATGCTTGGCACAGGGCCCAGTGCAAAGCGTACAGGCAAAAGCTACTGCACTGGGGTGGCTTCCCTGAGGCTGGGGCAGGGAGAGGGGTGGGCCCTTCACCTGGGGTGGGACTGCATGTCCAGGGCAACAGGGCTGCTGGCCCCTGTAGGGCAGGTGGCTCACTGCTCAAGGGCCCTGCTGAGGGGGGAGTAAGGGCTGAATCTGCCCTCACTGCCTCCAGCTGTGGCCGTGGCCAGAGGCTGTCTTCACCTGGAGGAAGGAATGTTAGGTTCTCTTTTGCTCACAGGCTCCTTCCGGTTTGGGGATGGCCTGCAAGGTGACCTTGGTCCCCTGGAGCTCACCTGGACGTGGGGTCTTCCGTAGAGGTGGAGTCCAGGTACGTGGAAGGCCGAGAGGTCCCTGCATGAGGAGAGGTGGCTCTGTGAAGGGGGGGCTCTTCGTTCGGAGAGGTCCCTGCGTACGGAGAGGTTCCTGTGTATAGAGAGGTTCCTGCGGGCTCGGGCGGGGACGTCCCTGTGAATGGAGAGGCCTCGGCCTCTGTCTTCCCCTGCTTGGTGACTGTCGGGTGGGCACCAGGAGAAGCTACAAGTCCAAAAGCAATGCCTCAGCACCTTCCCTGGCCCCTGCATCCCATCCCCAGACCGCTGAGCCTTGACCCCTGACCCCTCCCGTCTCCTCTCCTCCCCTCCCCTCCTCTCCCCGGGACCAGTTTCTCAGAACACCCCCAGGTAAAGGGCACCCCAGGAAGCAAACAGAGGCCTAGCTAAAGCCGTGTTGAGCAAGCCCCACACCTGTGCGCAGTCTCCAGCCTTTTTGTGCCCGAGGCCTGTTCTCTGTGGGGAGGCGCACACCCCACCCCCACCTCCAAGACCCAGTCTAGTGACCACTCTGTAGATGCCTTCCTGCCCTCCCCCTCCAGTCCTGGCCAATTGTCACCCCTGCTCTCACCTGAAAGTCCTCATGTCACCAGCACTTGCCCACCCCCACCACCTAGGTCTCAATAGTCCTTGATCTGCAGGGTGGTAGGGACAGGCCCAGAGGTCAGGCAAAAGGCCCAGCCTCTCCTGCTCGCCCCTCAAACCCCCTAGAACACAGGGAAGCTCTGCCCGCAGGCTGTGTCTGCTTCCTGGCTCTGCTGCTTCCTGTGTGACCTTGAGCCAATGACCTAACCCTGCGGAGCCTCCCATTGCTCAGCTGACAATCCAGCTCCCAGGATGTGGGGCCGCATAGCGCAGTGTCCGACACCAGGCCGGCACCCACTGGTTGTTTCTCTACAAAGGGGCCGAAGAGGGGCAGAAACCCATGCACTCACTCGATGCTGGGGGCTGGGTTTGCCAAGCTTTGGCCTTGGGCTGGAGGCTTGTAGCAAGAGGCTGGAAGGAGGGGGTGGGGGAGGGAGGACAGCAGGGACCTAGAGAAGAGGAAAGGCTGGTCTCAGGGAGGCAGGGATCACTGCTCTGAGCCAGATTTCCTGCCTTGGGAGCAGCCGGCAGCGTTCCCACCCCCTCCCCCATCTCCGCTCAGCGCATCGCCACCTTTCCCCCTCAGCCACTCAGGGGCCACGGATGGCCGATTCCAGCAGACTGCTGGCCTTCTGCTCCTGCAGGCCCTTGGCCTCCCACTTAGCGCAGACCTTGAACTTCCCTTGTCCCCCACTGTCCACCAGCCTTTTCCAGCCTGCCCTTCACACCGATGCCAGTTTTGTCTCTAAAATATCTAGGGGACCCATCACTTTCTACTTTAGAGCAGTCAGGGACTCCCCATGGCCCATAAGCTGAAATTCAAACGTTTTCTCATGCCTTTCAAGGCCCTTTAAACTCAGGCTTCAACCCACTGTGCCAACTTCACCTCTTCCCCATCCCGTGGGCCAACCAGTTACCCTCCAGTCCCATCTAAGCTAGCCACCTGTCTGCTTCCATGCCTTGGAGTTGCTGTTCCTGTGTGCCCTGCCTTTCCTTCCCATCTCTACCTAACTCACCAAGCACCCGCTCAAAAGTCAGCTCCTCCACAACACCTTCCCTGGGAGGAGCCAATCCTTTATTCTTCGTGTACCCACAGCACCCTGTGCATGGCGCCCGTGGAACTAATACTCCATTTGTGGCAATAACTCATTTATGGGGTCTCCCCACTAGCCTGGGACTCCCCACTAGGCTGGGACTTCCCCAGGGCAGAATGCCTAGCACAGTAGGCGGAGACCTACCGGGGCCAAGCTCCCAGCAGCCACCGAGCTCCCTGCCTCCCCCCGTCCATCAGGCGCCTCCTTTCTGACTTGTATGCCATCCTGGACTCTTCGTTTCCCACCATTTTCTATTGTTATCTAGGGCAGTTTTTCTCCACATTTTCTGAGTAAATGATCAAATCTGCAGATAAAGAATATTTTTCTTTTCTTTTCCACTATGTGTCCTTCTCAATCGTGCCCCATTTCATTGCCTGGGGCCTCCAGGGAATGATGAACAGTAGTGATGGCGGTGGGCATCTTGCCTTGCTCTGACCTGCCTAGAAATCCTTCTAACGCTCAGCCATACTCTATGGTGTGCAGACACGCACGCTGGCTCGTGAGAGTTAAAACGTAGCTTTTCAGGAACTTTGTGAGCTGGTTGTTAAACTGCTGGTGGCTGGAAATGGCCATGGCAGGGGCATTTACACCACAGAAATGGGCATGCACACTGGCTCGTGAGAGCTAACACGTAGCTTTTCGGGAATTTTGTGAGCTGGTTGTTAAACTGCTGGTGGCTGGAAGTTGGCCATGGCAGGGGCATTTACACCACAGAAATGGGCAGACACTACAAGCCGGAGTTTCCCCCGCCATTCGTTATGTACCGTCACCAGCCCACCACTGCCATCAGCTTTCCTTATTTTCAATATCCCAACCGTCATCAGAGCGAGGCCAGCAGGAGGGTAATGCAATGAAAACAGTAGAGCTCAGATATAGGATTAGAATAAAGACCCACGGATGAGGGGGCTCTGGCAGTGGGGATGGACCGGGGTGGGATGGGTCCCAGCTCTGGGGCCAGGAGAGGGAAAGAGCAAATTCCAAAGCCAGAAATGACCTGCTTTTGACTCCTGGCTCCACCACTTCCTGCCAGGAGACCCCGGGCAAATCGTTTGGTCTCTCGGAGGCTCCGTCCCCTTCTGTGACATGCGATACAAAGACCTACCTCCCCCTTACTGACCTGCAGCCTGGGCTGCCCGCTCCCCTGGGCCCTCTCTGGCTGCTTCTCCTCCTCGGCTCAGCAGGTCCAGGTGGGGTTCCGGGCACTCAGAGAGGTGCTCATCCCCAGCCAGAGCCCCAGGGCTCCAGCCCCAGCCCCTTAATGTTTCTGAGCTCAACAAGCCCCTCTGAGGCTGGTTGCCAGGCGCTCCGCACACCTGTCCATGGGGCTGCACGATCTGGGAAGAGGAGGCGAGAAGGAAGAGCCGAGGGAGCTACACGAGGTGAGGCCCGTGTGGCCATGGCTCAGGGCAGCGGTTCTCAACCTGTGGGTCGCGACCCCTTTGGCGGTCGAATTACCCTTTCACAGGGGTCGCCTAAGACCATCCTGCATATCAGATATTTACATGACGATTCATAACAGCAGCAACATTACAGTTATGAAGTAGCAACAAAAATAATTTTATGGTTGGGTCACAACATGAGGAACTGTATTAAAGGGCCAGAAGGTTGAGAACCACTGGCTTAGGCGATGTGTGGGGAGGGCCCAGGAGGTAGTGACGATGGGCCCAGCCTGAGGAATCCTCTGGACTCTCTCTGACTCCAGGGAGGGAGGGAGGCAATCTTTTTTATTGCCCCAGCCGTGGCAATCTCTCCCACATCTGGGCAGAGAGGAAGGGCACTGAACCTGGCGTTGGACAGACCTGGGTTCGATGCTGCTCTGCCACCTTCTAGTGGCGTGACCTTGGGCAGCAAGAGTGAAAGGACATCCGAGGCTCAGGCGGCAACCTCTGCGCCCCAAACGCTGATGCGCTTTTGACCTGTGTGGTTTCACCGAGTCCTTGAGACACACTCCCATGAGGCATTGCACCCTCTGTGCTGGGGGAACTGGGTCCACTACCGACCCACCCTCTCCTTGCCCTCGGCATCTCCAGTCCTCTTTCCAGGGAAGGAGAGACATTACTTACCTGGCAGGACCAGCAGAGAGACCAGGACAGTCTCGTCAATGCCCAGGATGGTGACGCCGCACCAGTAGTCCCCCGAGTCCTGCAGGGTGAGCTCCCTCAGGGTCACGGTGAGCGTGAGCTTCTGGGGGTTGTCTTGGATGGACACCCTGCCCTCTGTCCTCTCCTGGCCATCTTCTCGCGCGTAGATGATGCCCGAGCAGCGGGAGACGAAGATCCCGCCCTTCCTGCACCAGTATTTCTTGTGCTCCCGCAGCTTCTCCTCGTAGGTGCACTGCAGGGACACAGTGTCGCCTTCGAAACCTCTGATCTTCTTCGGCCCCATCAGAGCTTCATAACCTGGAACCACAGCAGGGACAGAGGTCAGAATTCCCTGGATTCAAGCACCAGGGTCAAGACCAGAGGTTGTTCTCAATCACCCCTTTCTGGGGGCAGCCCTGTCGGAGCTGGTACTCCCCACCCACCAGGGGACCTTGGAACCGGGCTGTTGAAATATAGATATTTCTATGTAATTGTTTCCCTAAACCTGACACATTAAAGGATTATGGGAAGGGAAGCTCTAGCTTCAGACAGCCTGGAGTTTGCATCCCAGCACTGCCACTTTGTAGCTGTGTGACCTTGGGGAAGTTGCTTGACCTCTCTGGGCCTCTGAGTTTTCTCATCGATAGGTAATGACAATATCTTTTTGTTGTTGTCGTTGAAAAGAATTACTTTTATTGATAGACATAATAACCCAAGGGCAAACATTTATCTACAAAATCCCCTGTTTGTAGAGGTCCGTGCAAAAGCAGCCTCCTGGCCTGTCACAATGAGCTGCTCCAGGTGGAGTCTGGAGAGGTGCGATCTCGGCCGAAACCCAGGGAATTCTGCAGCCTCTGGAGAGTCCCCCACAGCACAGGGCAGTGCCAAGTGAGGACTTGGTCATGGGGGTCCCTGACCTCCTGCTCAAATAGGAGAAGGTGGTTGGGTGGCTCCTCTCCTCATACGGACTTTTGGAGTCTGCCTGGGTGTCTAACAAGTGGTCATGTTAATAACTGGAAACTCAGATTTAAAGGCGGGGCTAAAACTAATAATCAATGAGAAGGCAGGATACAAAAGTATACATCCTGAATGATCTGTTTGTTTGTTTTTTAAGAAAAAATACTTTTAATACTCACACAGTCAGCCAGTTAACATTGGTTAGCTCGGTCGGTGACATTTTCTTCTCCACAAGGTGCACTATGTAATTTGTTCTCTTAAAATATTATTATTTTATTTTATTTCCTTTTTAAAAAATATATTTTATTGATTTTTTTTTACAGAGAGGAAGGGAAAGGGATAGAGAGTTAGAAACATTGATCAGCTGCCTCCTGCACACCCTCTACTGGGGATGTGCCTGCAACCAAGGTACATGCCCTTGGCCGGAATCGAACCTGGGACCCTTTAGTCTGCAGGCCGACGCTCTCTCCACTGAGCCAAACCGGTTACGGCTTATTGTATTTTTCCATTGCAGTTTACATTCCATATTATTTTTATTAGCTTCATGTATACAGCATGGTGGTGGGACAGCCATATACTTTACAAAGTGCTCCCTCTTCTAGTTCCAGTCCCCCCCTGGCCCCATGCACAGTTATCACGATATTATTGACTATATTCCCTGTGCTGTCCTTTACGTACCAGTGACTATTTTGTTACTGCCAATCTGTACTTCTGAATCCCTCCACCCTTTTCACCCAGTCCTCCCACCCGCCTCCCTCTGGCAACCATCAGTCTGTTCTCTGCATCTATAAGTCTGTTTCAATTTTGTTTCTTTGTTTATTTTGTTCTTTAGATTCCACATATAAGTGAAATCGTACGGTGTTTGTCTTCCTCTGACTGACTGACTTCACTTAGCATAAGACCCTCTAGGCCCATCCATGCTGCCCCAAATGGTAAGACTTCATTCTCGTTTAATGTAAGATGTTATCACATGTAAGACACACTACCATTTTACGTACTACTAAGAAAAACGTTGTCATTCGAACAGCTGGCATCACTTACAAAATGCATCCTGATTTTTGATGTTAGAAGGTTAAAAATAAAGCAGGTCTGTGAGTTGATGGAACGTGAAAATTGCCTCTCAGGGTTGTTGTGAGTTTAGCAGCAGTTCAAGAAATGTTTGCTGAGTTTAAGGTGGCAACTGTATGGGGGATGTCTGATCTGACTCCAGGCTTGGCTCCGAGTGGGAAAGTGATGAGAGAGGCAAAGCTTCTCACAGCCACACAGACGCGGACAAGCTGGAACCCCAAGTTGGAGACAACACCCGGCTCTGGGTTCCAGAACCAGCAAGTGCCGCCCTCTGAGGGCTGAGGAGACGGGGGTGGGGTGACGCCTGGAAGGATCCGGCAGGGCTGGTCACAGCGGGAAAGGAAATGCCGGTTCGGGGGTCCTCTCTCTGCAGACTCAGCTTCAGCCCCACATCCCTCCACTATGCCCTCAGCCCCATCTCACCTGGGAGCAGGAGGCAGCCCCACAGCAGGACCAGGGGCCTCATGGTGGGCACAGGACACGCAGGAGCACACGCGGGTGAACTGGGAGCGCCTCTTGGGAGCACATGAGCTTTAACTTCCTCCAGATGAGTGGGATCCAAACGAGGAAGGGAGGGGAGGGGCCATGTGGGTCACCCCTGGGCACCCAGCCCAGGGATCCGCCTTTGCCGTTCAATCTAATTACCTCCCTCCCCCCCCTCCCCAAAAATATCCCACGAGAGAACTTCTCCCAAACCCCTGCCCCTCCCGAGGAGTCTTAACCATGCCCACAGCCATACACCTAAGGGGGTCTGTGTGTAAAACTCAGGGAGTCCATGAATTGGGATGAGAAAAAAAATTCCATATTGACCTTTAAGTAATATCTTTTCCTTCTGAGTGTTAGCAGGACCTGTGACTTTGCCACCAAGACAAATCACAGACACTAGCACAGCACGTTGTCACCGATAACTCAAAATATCGTGGGTGCTCCTCGTGGCATGGACAATCTTTAGTAATTAGGTTTGCCACTAGAGCTGGCTCTTGCAAGCGCTCATAGAGACGCGAGTTTACTCCTATATTACACACATACACATTTTGATAACCACTTCAGTGTTGTTGGTTTTCTGCTAAGCATGTGTATTTTATATATTTAAAAGACCATTATTCTGCCCGACCGGGGTGGCTCAGTGGTTGAGCATCGACCTATGAACTAGGAGGTCATGGTTCAATTCCCAGTAAGGGCACATGCCCCGGTTGTGGGCTGGATCCCCAGTGTGGGGCGTGCAGGAGGCAGCCTTACCAATGATTCTCTCTCATCATTGATGTTTCTCTCTCTCTCTCCCTCTCCGTTCCTCTCTGAAAAAAAAAAAAGACCATTATTCTGAGAGGTGGGCCCATAGAATAGGTCAATGGTAGAGGTTAGAGCCCCTGTGGCAATGCCCACTGTCCCTCCTTCATCGGGCCAGAGGACGCAGTACGGCTCTTGGCCACCAGGCGGCGGTGCAGGCAGGGGTCAGAAGCTGCAGGGCTGGGCTGAGAGGCTGGTCTCCCCACGCGCGCGTGCGCAGAGCCGTCTTGGCATCCAAAAAAATGAATTAGCGGTTTCCCACCGTAGATTTGAATCCTTCTTGAAAGGAACAAAATGCACACGGACACTAGAGGGAGCCCTGACACATCGTTTTCCAAAATAGGCCTGTCGGTGTGTTTTTGTGGATTGCAAAGTTCATGCAGCTTGTAAGCAAAATTTTACACAATACAGAAATGCTATTAAAAAACAACAGAACAATGGGAATGTTTCCTGTAATTCCCCTTCTCTGTCAGAAAACCGCTGTTTCCATTTGGACATGTGTACGTCCATACAGACAGCCAGAATTTTATCCACTTGTTGGGCTAATATTTGAAGTAATAATTCAGTGGTTCTGGGAGGCGTGTGTGTGTGTGTGTGTGTGTGAGAGAGAGAGAGAGAGAGAGAGAGAGAGAGAGAGAGAGAGAGAGAGAGATATTCTGGTGATGTGGGAGACAGGTTTTGATTTCTCTGTGATTGTGGGCTCTGCTGGGCAGGACAGAGGTTCGCATCAGTGAAAACCCTGTAAGGATGAGCCCAGCCTGGACCCCACTCCCATTACATGTATAGGCTGCAAAAGGTAACGGGTTTCTGTAGTTTTAAAAACACAGATGAAAATAATATTTATTCTAGGGCAGTGGTTGGCAAACTGCGGCTCTCGAGCCACATGCGGCTCTTTGGCCCCTTGAGTGTGGCCACGAAGTTTCAATCGCACTGTACGTGCGCGCCCATACGTGGTATTTTGTGGAAGAGCCACACTCAAGGGGCCGCAGTTTGCTGACCACTGTAGGGTTTGATAGTATAGCTCTGTTCTTTCACTGTTGTCTGTCCTATACAGAATAGTTTCTGACCTTCCTGCTTATCTCAAATCCTAACTATTTGCTATAGGCAGGGACGAGCATCTGACACTGTCACGTTTTCCAGCGTCTCGGGGCCTGTGCGTTGACACTTTGAAATATGTTTTATTTGGTGACAAGTTGTTTTCCTTTTATTTGTTCCCTCTGTTACAGCTCAGGCATTGTATTGTGATTTTTTTAAAAGTAAGTGTGAGAAGACATATTATTTATGATTGCATTTCCGGAGAGTAAAAGAAGTGTTACCAAAACGTTAATTTTCATGTAGAGGGGATTGGGTCTAATGTGCATCATCCTTGCTCCCTTCATGTGTATGGTGAGGTCCTTCCCTCCGCAGCCCCACACCTAACCAGGAGCCAGGTTTGCGGACTCCGTTAGAAACAGATCCTCCAGGCCTGAAAGTATTGCAAGAGCCGGGAGAAGGGCCTAGAGTGAGGGGTTCGTATGGGCCCTGCACCTGGTCCTACCCCGTGGGATGGATGGAGGGAGAGCAATGGGGTGGGCAAGATGTGTCCCCTGGTGGGTTTGGGGATCTGAGAGGAGAGGACACATGTGTCCTGCTTCTTACCTAGAATACTTGGAGGATATTAGTAGAAAAACTAGTCAAATACTAATAAAGTCTGGAGTTTAGTTACTAGTAATGTACCAAAGTGAATTTCTTGGTTGTGACAAATGTATCATGGTTACATAAGATGTTAACGTTAGGCGGAGCAGATAGAATGAAGGACATTCAGGGGGGTTCTGTAAGTATAAAATTATTCCACAATGTAAAGTTTATTTTATTTATTTATTTAAAAAAAATATTTTTATTGATTTCAGAGAGGAAGGGAGAGGGAGAGAGTGAGAAGCATCAATGATGAGAGAATCATTGATCACCTGCCTCCTGCACACCCCCTACTGGGGAACAAGCCTGCAACCCAGGCATTTGCCCTTGATCAGAATTGAACCTGGGACCCTTGAGTCCTCAGGCAGGCTGACACTCTATCCATTGAGCCAAACTGGCTAGGGCATAAAGTTTATTTTTTTTAAAAAAAGCAGTGAAGAGCCAACAAAAACATGAGTGATTCCTGGCTGAGGTCTGCATATAGAAACCCAGGAGAATGAGCTGAGCACGCAAGGTGCTTTGGGCCTGGGGAGCACCTACTGGTTCAGGAGGAGCCACTAAGGGGATGTTGGAGTCTAGGGCTATCCTTACATACATTTAATCACCTTAGACTAGGACGCCAAAGGGCTGCACTTTGGGAGAAGGGTGAACTGCAAGTAAACCAGGCCACCGTGAGCGCTCGCTCAGCTCGGTCATTAGGTGTCCCAGGAAACTTCAAGCTTTGAACTTGAATTAAAAAGATTGGTCCTGGTCTGGTAATATCCTCTCCCCCCCTACCCCCAGGTACCTTAAAGATACCAATGAAAATCCTTTCTGGAAGAAGATAGCATCAGCCTAAGCCTCAAATATTTGAAAACCTTTTTTCCCTCCAAATACAACCCAATCCTATATAATAAAAGGCTAATATGCAAATCAACCAAACAGCAGAATGACCGGTCACTATGATGTGCACTGACCACCAGGGGGCAGACGCTCAATGCAGGAGCTGCCCCCTGGTGGTCCGTGCATTACCACAGGAAGAGCACTCAGCCAGAAGCCGGGCTCATGGCTGGCGAGCGCAGCAGCGGTGATGGGAGCCTCTCCCACCTCCATGGCAATGCTAAGGATGTCCAGGGAGTGGGCCTAAGCCATCAGTCGGACATCCCCTGCAGGATCCCGGACTGCGAGAGGGTGCAGCTGGGCTGAGGGACCCCACCGAGTGCACGAATTTCATGCACCGGGCCTCTAGTATACAATGAAAGAGAACCAGATATAGTCTGAGGAGACAAGACTCTTCAGCGAGAATGTACAAGAGAAGCAGACCTGTGGAGACTTCAGAGATTGAAAGCAGCAGGAGTCGCCTTAACACAACCATTCTCACTGTGTTCAAGGAGGTAAAAGCCAAGCTTGAAATTGTTGACAGGGAATTGGAAAGTATAAAAAAATGAGCCAGCAGTTTTTAAAACAAACAACATAAAATTCTAGGACTGAAAAATAGAATCATTAGACTTAATAGTTCAATAAATGAGCTTCAGGTGAGATACAGCTGAAATGATAATAGTGAACCAAAGAAATCATCCAGAATGAAGCAGAGAGAAATAAACGGAAGGAAAATAAAGAAGAGAGGGTAAGAGAAATGGGGAATAACATTAGAATGCCCAACATACATTTTACTGGAGACGAAAATGAAAGAAGAGAGAGGATGCGGCACAAGCAGTAATCAAAGAAATAATTGCGAGAATGTTCCAAATGTGAAGAAACGCACCGTGGGCCCTGGCCGGGTTGCGAGGTTGATTAGAGTGTTGTCGGATATGCCAAGGTTTCGGGTTTGATCTCTGGTCAGGGCATATACAAGAAGCACCCAATGAATGCATAAGTAAGTGGAACAACAAATGGATGTTTCTCTCTCTCTCTCTCTCTCTCTCAAATCAATTTTTTAAAAAGCACACCATGTGTTTTTTAATATGCACATGATTATAATATTTGGGGTGCGAAAGCCTGTGCCCAGGGCATGGGCCTCTCTTGCCTGGGCACAGTGTGGACACTTGATCTGTGACAAAGGTGGCACAGTAGAGTGGGCTGGGGAGAGGATGGGCTTTTCAGTAAGTATGTTGGAACACATGGAAAAAATGCGGGATGTGACCCCTGCCTCCCATCACCCACAAAAATCAATTCGAAGTGGATTCCAGAACTAAATGAAAAAGGCAAAATGATAAAGCTTTTTGAAGATAATGTAGCATATGTTCATGGTCTCTGGGGTGGGGAAAGAGTTCTTAAACAAGACACCAAAAGCACAGACTACAGAGGAAAAGACTGATAAATTAGACTGTGTTAAAATTAAAAACAGTTCATCAAAAGATGCCATGAAGAGTGAAAAGACATACCCACAGAGTGGGAGGAAATATCAGTCACACAAATCACAGACAACATGAATAAATCGTAAAAAAAAAAAAAAGATAATATTGAGTGAAAGAAGCCATGTGTACAAAAGACATCTTGTAAGATTCCATTTAGATGTCTGAAAGCAAACCAAACGAAACAACGAAATGGTATTGGATTGTGACATGTAGATGGCAAAACCAGAAAGCAGA